GAGTGCTCAAGTATTACTTAAAGGGGTCATATGATGCTTTTTTTAAAGATCATTATTTTGTGTATTTGGTGTAACAGAATATGTTGACATGCTTTAATGTTCAAAAAGCACATTATTTTTCAAATACTGTACATTATTGTAGGTCCTCTATGCCCCGCCTCTCTCAAACGCTTTGTTTTCTACAAAGTCCCTCCTTCCGACAAGCGCAGTCCCCGAAAGGGGAGCAGAATCGCGTGACAGACACAGTGATGAAGCTGGTATGTGTTTGGCATTGCTGTTCTGTTGTAAGTGATCTTAAAGATTCCTAATTGCATCTACTTTCGGAAGGCCAAATAAAGTGCTTTTGCTTTCGCACTGAAACACACAGTGTCTCCCTGACATGGCTGCTTCAACACTAACTGCGGTTACTGAAACCACGCCTTCTTTCTTTGCGTGAACATTTGGGCGGCATTATGCTAATATTTCCACATAGTGAGGTAGATATGTGGGGGCGTGTTAGAACGAGCCGTTTTAGGGGGGCGTGGCAGAGTCTTAACTTTGATAAAGAATATCTCTTTGGATTTGAGACTTTAGTCTTTGCAACTTCAGGGATCTTATCCATGCACAATCAGCTTGTAACACTCCAAAGAGAAAGGAAAACTTGAAATCGCATCATATGACCCCTTTAATTAATACAAGCGAATTAATATAGCAAATTCTATTTCTTTTTTTATGTTATCATGCAAAATCAATGAAACGCCATGAAACAGAAGAGATAAAACTACTTATGGGGATGAGAGAATGAAGAATATGAAAAGACTATATGAAAAAATTCTGTATGAGGAAATATGAAAACATTTAATGAAAAGATGATTATGAAATATATACAGAAATGTAAAGGTCTTCTTTCATGTGAAATGAAGGCTCATGGGGTTAAAATATTACTATAATTTTCAGGTTGTCTGGTTTCCCCCCAAAAAAAGAAAAGAAAAAACAGACTATAGAATATATATAGAATATATTTGTTATTTGTGTTATAGATTTTATTTTATTTTATATTTTATTGTATTTTTTATTTTATTTTATTCTTAGGTGCAATATTTGTATTACAAAGCCTTATTTATTATTCAAGGGTTCGAATTTCTATGTAAATATGAAATGACTTGCATTTCTTCTGAACAAAATGATCTATTGCAATAATTTGTCCCGATGAGCCAGAATTTCACTATCGTGACAGCGCTGTTAGTTATCATACGCTTTAGCACAGCACTAACAAAGACCTGACCAGAGAAAGATTAATAGCATTCGTGGCACCATGTGGAATTATCATCACCTAATACGCATTTAACTACATCTAATCTCCGACTAACATTTCACTGTTAATTGAGATCATGCATAAAGAGGCTCTGTGTACAGAAAGCCATTTGAAATGTCATTTTATAAACCGCAAACTTTCACTGACATAATTAGTTGTAAGCTTTCGATAATTTCCAGAAGACTATGGAAAATAAAGGTCACCCTGCACAGTGTCTAGTATATTATACTCTCCCCCATCTCTCTGTTTCTCAATCAGTGAGATTAGATGCACACAATGATGTGTTTGTTTAAGAGAAAAGTCTGTGATGGCTATGACAAAAATGGAAATCTCTAATATATGAATAAGACACACTTACAAACAAACACACAACAGAAGCTGTGTTTGAGTAGCAGGTGTAGCTCTGACCTTGTTCTTTTCATTTCTGCCTGAAGCTAAACCCCATTTCCCAGTTATGTTCCTGTTTCTTAATTAAATTCCGAAGAGAGTTTGTGTGTGTTTGTGCCATCTGAGTGGTGCACAGCTGAGCTAATCTTCATTGTGCATTACACAGAGAAGGCAGAGATACAGTATTGAGCTTCTGTTGTTCAGAGGAGTCTGTGTGATTGAACGCGGACTGGCAAAAGTATTCAGGCCCTTTAAGGATTAGTTCACCCAAAAATGTAAATTCTGGCTTTATTTACTCACCCTCATGTCGAGCCAAACCCATGTGACCGTCTTCTGTGTGATTCAGATGGAGGAGACATTTTAAACAACGGGACTGGTCGCTCATTTCCATGCCATTACAGTGAATGGGGACTGAAGCTTTCAAGCTTCAAAGGACACGAGTAGCACTGTAGAAGTATGATAGTAGTAGTCAATACAACTTGTGTACTCTATTCCGAGTCTTCTGAAGCCATATGATAGTGTTGTGTATAATAGTAATCTTCCCCTCCTGTGAACTGTTGAGTCAGACTGTTTTTGTGAACTGGATCAACATTTAATTGAAAAGATGCTGATTGTTTTTCCAGGAGATTTAGGGCAGATGTCGATATTTAAATTTTCTTTTGTTTTCCATGGAAGAAAGAACATTATATGGTTATGGAACAACATGAGGGTGAGTAAACGACAGACTTTTTCTTTTTGAGAGAATAAATGCTTTAACCAAACCGTCTTTTTACTTCATTACAAATCATTGTTTAGGTTCCTGTGACATTTGTACTTTTAAGCACCGAATAGTAATTTAATGAGTTCATGGTTACATTGTATCTAAAAAAAAATAAATTGGAATATGATGTGTGTGTATTTAATGGCTATAGGTTACAGAAGCTCACAACTCTGAGAACCATACAATGTTTGTGAGTTTAGAGTAAATTTATTATAACTGAATGGTGATTTAGTGAATTATAAAAAAAAAAAAAAGATGACAGTTATTTTAGTGTTATTTATATACTATTATAGTATTTATCAATATTTCAATATATTTTTAATTCGCTTTTATTTTCACATTTTCATTTTTAATGACAATTTGTTTGTTTTAGTAATTTTATGTGCTTTTGTGATTTTAAGTATTTCTAGTTATAGCTTAAATTAATTTTTTTCACTTTTAGTCTTTAGTCATTTTAGTACTTACGCTTATTTCAGTTAGTTGCCAAGACTACATTTCTCATTTTTGTTTAATTTTTTATTTTATTTTATTTTAGCTTTATTTTATTTTATTTTATTTTATTTTAGCTTTATTCAAAATTATTTTCAGTAATACAAATGGTTTTAGTTTACAATAAAAACCCTGGTTTCATCTGGGGGCTTTTCTCAGCAAATATGCAATTAATTCAGTTCATTTGATTACTTAAACAGCACAAAATGTATAACATTTTTAATCGGTTGACAACTTTCAAAAAATAAATAAATCAAAATATGCTGGTGGAGGATCTGAACAGGTACAGCTGGATTATACCTGTGAGTCATTATAACCTATCCTAGATAAACAAAAATGTCACGGTAACAGGATAATTATTCAGGTTGTTAATCTAAAGGACAGCTGTGAAAATGAAGACTAAAGAGCATTCTAAATATGTCAGCGATAATGTTAGACAAATGCTTTAGGAAAAGGTTACAAAACAATGTCCAAATCTTTGGATGTCCCAGCGGTGTTGGTTCAATTATAAGGAAGTGGAAACTACCAAAAACCCCCCAGACACCATCGAGAAAAGGTCATCCCTCAAAAGTCTCTGCACAAACAAGCAGATTTGTAAGAGAGACCAGAGATCACTTTGAAAGAGTTACAGAGTTCAACAGTTGAGAAGAAAGTAAAAGATGGAATGAGCAGTCACGCATTATCATAGCGCCATATAGGAGGCTAATGTAGCAAAAGAAACCACTTTGTCAGATATAACCAGAATAAGGTGTTTTTAGATAATGTTCCCCATTGCATCTGGGAACATTTCAAGAAAAAATATTTAAAAGAAAACTTCACCCAAACATGAACATTCTGGCATTATTTACTCACCTTCATGTTGTGTGAAACCTGTGACTTACTTTCTTACATTGAACACCAA